AACTCGTAGAAGTGTAGCGCTCTTCTCGTGACGTCGCAAAGGAAGACCAACGGGGGCGCGCGTCGAAACGAAGGCAACGCGCGTGGATCGACCGGCGTAACAACCCGGTTTAAAGGCCCGTTCACACTCTTGCGACCTCTTAAACCTGGGTTCCTTAAGGGGCCGGTGCAACGATTTTATGATTAAAAGAATTTGCATCTCGTCATTTTTACGTTGTTAACCGTGTCCCGGAGGATAGAGAAAACACTTCCTTCATTAAAAATGTCGCAATTCCGCTGCATAATCGCGAAGCAAAAGTCGAGCATTTTCCCCCACCTGCAGCCCCAAGTGGCAGCCGAAGCAACTACGGCGAAAAGATTACGTGACCTCGCTCGGCTCTAAGCTGCAGCATAACGCCCGCTAATGTCAGCGGAGAGAGGGAGAGGAAGCGTCCTCCGAGATAGCACACGGGAAGCTACACGGCACTCCGAATGACGTCACTAGGAGGGGGACCAGGTGTGACCCTGAAGGCTGGGAGTGAGTTGAGGGGTGCCCGAAATGCCAATCTTTATCTTTTTTTTACGCAACAACTAGGACACGCAGGCGAAATCGGTTTTCTGTTCTTTACTTCAGAAGTGTCAGAGGGCAACTTCCAGCAATCTTTGACCGAAGTCCGGAAATCGTGGCACCGCCCCCCCCCCCCCTTTCAAACTTCTTAAACCAGAGAACACACTGGCGCCATCTATTGGGAAGCAGTGTAACCTCGGCGGTCCGGCATATTTTTTTTTTTTTATTTCTCGCGCATTATCCTTTTTTTTTTGGCTCAAAAAACTTTTGTCAATGTTATAAAAGAGCCTTTCTATGGGTATTACGCACATTTGACCTCGGAAATCCCGCAAAATGTTCGCTCTTGTGAAATGCAGTTCCAGGGTCACCGCATAGATGGCGCCACAATGCCAGTGTGTTCCCTGATTCTAAAAACATTTAAGAAGTTGTAAGAAATCTCGTCTCTCTCAGTCGTACTCGGTCGCAAGAGTGTGAACGGGCCTTTAGTCATAAGCGTGTCTTATTAGCTAAAATAAAAGTTGCCCATATCAGCGGGGCTAGAAAACATTTTATTACATGGACAAAATATTCCACCGCTAAATAATTGATATGAAATGGCACGAGGTATAAGCATAAGATGTCTACAAAAAAATGGGATTGTCTTAAGTCGAAAACATTGAGCCACGTAATTACGGCTGTAGGAATGCATATTTTATGCAGAATTCCACAAAATGGCGAGACACAGCAAAACGGATCGCAGTAAAAATCAGGCAGACTTAGTCAAGGCGGACACGGCTAGACAAGTGTCACAATTGCAGTCATGTAAGCGACGTCAACGCCTGCAATCACTGAATTCTTGCATTATACCCCCGCCACATGGCAAAATGAATGTAATTTCGATCGAATGGCAATATGGGGTCGGCAAATCAGCTCGTGACGCTCGTATTATAGTCACTCAGAATCGCGAGCTGATTCAATCCCATAATATCGTTTAATGAAAATATATTAATTTTTTTTCGTGTGGCAGGGGCACTAACGTACTATTTACAGGGAACTAATCCACTTCTTATGGGCTCGAGCTGCCTTAGAGCAAAATATAATTTATTTTTTATTCAAAAAAGTGAAAGCCGTTTACAACTCCCTGTAACGCCGAATTGGAGCGCAGCTCTTGAGGAGGAGGAGGGAAGGGTACTGAGGGGAGGGTAGACTCCTCTTTCTCCTCCTCCCCTCATTCTTTAATATGCTCCTGGGGCGTCACCTGACCTCGGGGGAGGGGGTCACGTGACTTCGGGGAGGGGTGGGCACGTGACCTTGGGGGGTCACGTAACCTTGAGGTGACCTTGGGAGGGGTCACGTGACCTTGAGGTTACCTTGGGAGGGGTCACGTGACCTTGGTTACGCCGACGCCGCTCTAGCCGGAAACGGGCGCCTAAGAGCTGCGCTCTAAAACACATCGACTGCTTTGAGAAAGGCCTGAGGCATTTTCGAAGGCTAAAGCACTAAACGAGTCTGCTGTCTTCGATGCACTCTAAAAGGCACCTCTAAGGCAAGGCATAGTATATAGGTAATTGATGTCAATAGATGCTCTTGCAGGAAACTGATGACTTTATTTGAGTTTCTTTACCAAATGGGTAAACAACTACCTTTACCAAATACGTAAAAACTACCTTTTAACAAATAGGTAAAAAACTGCCTTTGTTACCTATAGGTCATGAATTGCCAACTCGTCCGAAACAATATTAAACCACCGTACAATATAAACGCTTCAGGCTCAGTGGCACTTCGCTTAGGCGACCGTAGAATAATAACACTAGTTTTTACGTTGTCTTTAATGCGGGAACTTCAGAAACGTGCATTCTCCTAAAGTCACTGGATCCTGGGAAAATAGCGTCACGCTCCCCGTATGAACAGTCGCCATTTCGGTTCATGGAATGAACAGTTCCTCTTTGATCTCTTCATTCTTGTTGAGCCGATCAAAATTTCCGGTGACAGGATCCAGGGATTTTGCTATCCACACACCTGCGAAACAAGCGCACATCTTCACACCGCCACCACATGTGGCGTCGGCGCTTGGAAGCATTGAAAAATATTTTGTGCCGTGAAATACGCACGAAAAAAAAACATTGTAAGAAATGTGTGGACATATAAGCTATATTGATTAGTTGATTGGGCACACAGTGCCAAAGACGCTTGTATTGGCGAGGAACGCTTCCAGTACGATGAAGCTGCATAGCGATCTTGGCACGACTGGTTCAGAACGATCTTTTTGAAGCTTCGAAGATCTGAAAGGACCGAAATGGCATGGCAACCAAAACCGATCAGCCGGACGGACGACCGAAACCTTGCAAGGTTTCGGTCGGTCGTCTGGGAGAGTTGAAAACGCAACAGAAAAACACGGCGAAAGAACCCACGTAGCACGAGAACGTTCTGAGGACATTCCGGGAATGTTCGAAAGAACATAGTCGACATTCTTGGAATGTTGCAAATTTGCGTAAGAACATTCTATCAACGTTGTCAGAATGTGGCGCAGGGTCTTATCGCTACATTCGGGGAATGTTTTCTATGGGACAATCTTAGAACGTCCTGAGAACGACATAGAACATTACCAGGACATTTAATCAACATTTAAATATCCCAACAAGGTTCTAAGAACATTAATTCTCAGAACGCCCAAAGAACTTCTGCAAATTTCCTGAAATGTTGCAAATTTATCCAGGGACATCCTTTCAATTGCTGTGGAACGTGGCGTGGGTACATCGCTACATTCAGGAAACATTCTCTGACGACTATTGACAAAGATTCCAGAATTACGGCTTGCTTAGGCTGAGCCCCAATGAGCCGCGCAACATATATGGATGTGATAAAGCTCCTCACAGGGCGATCGCGATATTTTTTAATCGAAACAGATTTTTAGGAGGCGTGAGCACAAGCTAGCCGCTTTTCCAGCGCACCAGCCACGAGCACGTACTAATGGCAGTTTACTCCTACCTGTCACTTGATCAACTTGTTTCATTCAAAACGTGCTGTCAACATAACCGATGGCATCCCACATTCAATAGAAAAATACCTTTTTCAAAGTTTTAAATCCCAGATACTAAAAATCTGGTCCATTCAAAACTGCCCCTCTACATGCGCAGTGAGTGCCAAGTTCATTATCAATTTTGAAAATCATTGCTTTTCTCCTACACCTTATATTACACTCCTCGGTAGACTTATAGAAGATAAAGCTGATCTCTTATGCTAAGTTTCCAGAAACTCCACTTAATTTGCATATTTTTGGCACAACGTGGTATATAGTGGATGGTGTTTCGAACAGCTCCGTAAAGTTGAATGTTCGCAAGCGAACATTCAACTTTACGGAGCTCTCACGCAACCTGTTGTTTACGGAGCTCTACGGAGCTCTCACGCAACCTGTTGTTTACGGAGCTTTACGGAGCTCTCTCGTAAGCGAACATTCTAGGAATGTTCGCAAGCGAACGTTCCAATAATGTTGCGCATACGAATGTTTGAAAGGAAACATTCCGAGAACATTGTGCATACTAATTTTCGCCAACGAACATTCCTTGGATGTTGAGCAGCTTACCTTGTAGGGAATGTTCGCATACGAATGTTCCTAGAACGTTCCCAATGGTGTTTTAACATTCCTTCAACATTCAGAACATCCAAGGAATGTTCGCAACCCATTGGGAGCTCCTTGGGGAGTGGCAGTGCCAACAAAAAACCTTGGAAACAAAGATGACATCAGGGCACAAGGTTGCTTGACAAACAGCCAACCCGTTAAATGCCCGCTGAGAAGCTGGCGGTAGCATTTGTAATATCAGTTTTAGAGTGAATCGCGGTTTCCCATTAGTGTAATATTTTGGCAGTGCTCGTATTTAGTGTCGGTAAATCGATATCAGTCATTTACTTCGGTTCGACTTTTGATCGGAGTTACCCTTTAACTTCACCCAGAATTACATCTTTGTAGGAAAGTGCAACTAAACGTATCAAGCAACCGATTTACGCTATCCACTAAATCGAGTGCACACTACACTAAGTTCAGCATCTCCGGACACTTTGAGAGACAATCGCTGACCACTTCGAGTTAAATGGGTCCCCACAAGCAAGTTGCAGAGTGGTGAATTGTGCAAACGCTTATTCTGTGCATATATATTCTCGTTTTCACCTCAAGAACCGTAGTAAACAAGTCCGGCTCCTCGCGGAGTATTACTAATTTCCCCCTTTATGTGGTGAACTAAGCCATAATGTAGGTGAATTTCAGGTTAGATATAGGCTATCATATCAAGACATACACCTTTCAAACAACAAAAGCATATGGCTTCTTCCTCCGACAACCAAATCTTGTAATAACTACGCGCGGCATATAATCAATGCGCAAAACGTGTTTTTTTTTTTTTTTTTTTTTTTTTTTAGTTGACAACGAGTATAGCATAGAATGGAAGACTGACATGTGGGAATCAAACAGTCACCTTCGGGTCGTTTGACCTTTTATTGCAACAGAGGCCCCTGCTCCCCAGAATTCGTGAAAACTAAAATCGGTGGGAACCTTAAAAACAAATCGAATAGTTGGGATAGGGAAAGTTTTGAAGCGTTTAACCAATACATATGAATTTTTCTAGGCAACCAGAAAGTGTTTCTTGCAGTTTGAGTCCTTCAATACATCTTGCTTTGTCGCCGACTCAGCGACACGCCTTGAGAATTGGGATTCTACTGAAAAGCAAGTGCTTAAAACTCCTTCTTGTCCCCGAGCAGCTCTCTGTCCAACAGGTACTCCCCCGTGCCTGAGTCCATGTTACTGAGTACTGTAATCATTCGCTGCAGCTTGTCAATGGAAGTCACTTGCTCCTCCAAGAACTCGCTCTCGATGAAGTCCATGAGCTGTAACATAAAATTTCATTTGGTTACTGTAGTGTACAGGGAGTTCATATTCAATATGGTTGTTCATCCCCTACAACACACCAAATGTATCTTAACACCGTGCACGGTCTTTTTCCCATGACCTAATGTTTTCTTTGAAGGATGTAACCAATTTCCACCCTCTGTATAATAACATATTCGTAAGAAGGAAAACAAAAAAAAAAAAGGAAGAAAACGAACGAGGAAATTGTTGCATATCCGAGTTCACGGATCGGGACATAAGACACATCGGCGAGAATACATCATTTTTGACACATGCCTCATTCAGCAGCAACACTTGCCACAAACTTCTCACCCCTAAGCACAGGAATTTTTTAAAGTTCGTCTGCTTCTTGCGCAGGGGGTAGCGGTGACGTCAGAACGCCGAGCCCTGATTGGCTGATCGCGACCCCCTATCTGAGCGTCGTCTGCTCCTTTGCAACGTCGTCTGCTCGCAACGTCGTCTGCGTCTGTCTTACCTTTCCTGCGACTTTCGAAAGCGCAGAGGCCAGATTCACGAAACGATCTTACGCCAAAAATGTGCGTAAGACATAACTTAATAACAAATTCGTATTCACGAAACGAAATTTTTGTAAGTTTTGCGCAGGTTACGACGAAATCCTACGACAGCTCCGAAGCTGTCTTACGCACTTCTTACGATCAAATCAGCATGGCCGACAGCGACGACCCACGGACGTTTATTTTTCTACGTGCGCTTCTCACGCGTCGCGACTTCAAGCAGCAAGAAAAAAGTACTTGAAACAGACCACGACGAACAAGAACGCTGCATCCACAAACACCCGGGAAAAGCTCCAACGACCACGATTTCACCGAACGCGACCAAGCGAGCACGGCAGTTAGGCCTAGCAGGCACTCCGCGACTCGGCGACCGTCTGCCCACGACCGGTTGGTGTGCTGAATGGAATATGCCCGCGCGACCCTTGTGAACTCTTCCCGTATTATACTTTGATCGCTGTCCTCAGTTTTAGATTAAGAGGTTAATTTCTTCCTCTTGTTATCTCCCTGTTTCCCGAGACAACGGTGACTCTCGCCGGTGAAAAAGCGGTGAATCTCCGACAGACGCAGGAAAGGTAAAGCAGCCATCGCTTTGACTAGCGGACGTAAAGCAGACGACGTTAACTGCGCCAACCCGCCGACGCCGTTAAAGAATGAGGGGTTTCGCCGCACACGAAAGGAGGATTTGGGAGGGAAATTGCGGACACTAAAGCGCCGTTCACACTCTTGCAACCGAGTACGACCGAGAAAGACTTCTTGGGACCGGATTCACTGAGCGGAGCTGGTCCTAAGAGATCGCAAAAGGCTTAAAAACCGGTTTGGTCTCTCTCGGTCGCACTCGGTTGCAAGAGTGTGAACGGGCCTTAACACGCTCACTCTCGGTTCTTATCAAACAAACCTCGGCGCCCCGGGACACCTCGCCAGTGAGTCCTTTGACTTTCCCCCTTGATGCGCGTCTGCTAGTTGTTAGGCAAAAACAACGTACCGCTCGAGTTATTTCGTCTGCCCTCTCTGAAAGGCGAAGTCGAGCTCGCTCGTAAAGACCTGCACTTCCGAAAGTCGCAGGAAAGGTAAGACAGACGCAGACGACGTTGTGAGCAGACGACGTTGCAAAGGAGCAGACGACGCTCAGATAGGGGGTCGCGATCAGCCAATCAGGGCTCGGCGTTCTGACGTCACCGCTCCTTCCTTTTTCATGCGCAGAAGACGAAAATGAGCCCACTTGCGAGGCGTATAAACAAGTTGCGCTATACTTCCATGGAGGATATTCAGTTCACGCCAAATCGTAACAGCCTGAAACCACCGTAATTCACTTTCCCGGAAAATGTTTTTATTTATGTCTCTCTGAAAAATATTTACAGTTCTTTTTTTTTTTGAGGGGGGGGGGGGGGGGGGCGGGGGGCGGGGTTTCACCGCAAAAATAAACCAGGCATCCCCGAACGCAGTCTCCGCCCAAAGATGCCAGTTTCAAAACTAAGCCTAATCTTATCCAGAAGTTATACTACAGGGTGAAACAAGGAGACGCCAGGCTCTTTAAATCGACCGGAAAATTCGGTTTCTTAACCTATCGCGCTACGACTTTGTGCAGCGTTGCCGACATATGGTGCATTTTTTTTTTTGTAAAATTTGCGAAGAGCGAATTTACCTGAGGAAAAAGTAAAGAAAGAAAAAGGCTTAGCTCCTATGGAAACGCAGCGAAGCCACCGGTCTGCAAACAACACGGCGCCGTTTCGCACGGGAGACAAGAGATGGCGCAACGAACGCCGCCAACGAACGAGCATACGGCGCCGAGAGCCAGCGTCTTTAGCAGACAATCTTTTCGACTCAAAAGCGGCGCGCGTTCCGCTGGGTTGCCAGGTTGGGCTATAAATAGCCAAATTGGGCTAGTTTAATTTGCAGTTGGCGGAAAAAAAATGGCAATTGGCTATTTGGCTAGTATTGGGCTATTTGTGACCCGTGCCGGGCACACCAAAATGCCTCAAAGCACTTGGGTTTATAGCAGAAATCAGCGGTTTATAGGCTTAAATATGGCATTTTTAGAGTAAGTTACGTAAACATTTGGCGCTTCAGTCTGTTAACCCTGATAAGTATGCGACAGCAAGCAAATTCGTCTGCTCTTTGCACACCTTGTGCAATTGTTTACCCTCGAAATTTGTCGGAATGCAAGCGTGTGCTGTTTTTCCTGCATCTCAACCAGTGACGGCGCAATTCCTTGCGGCCCCAACATCATCTCCTCTTCGCATTCTTCAGGTTGCCTGTTGATTGGCATGCACCTATACGTCGTGTTTAACTCTGCGTAGTTTTCCCGTGACGTCATTCTAGTCACCATACCCCGATACCCCCGAAGCGTCCAATTAATACAGTGGAAGATCTGTTGACATTCGCTCGTACGAGCGTTTCAGGAAGTTCGCCGAACGTGCAAGCGACGCCATTTCTGGGGAATTTCGGCACCGTTGCAGAGCACACAACACAGTGTTCATTACTTATGTTCCAAAATCCTTAAAAAAAATAAAAAAATAAAAAAATAAACACCCTGAACGACACGTGTCCCATTTTGTCAGTAGTGATGCACCCGTGTTTTAGTCGTTGGTTCTACGAACTAGTGATGCTAGTGGTGTGAATATTTATATTTGATGTATAAACATGTATTATGTCGTCTTTTGTGTTTAAAACAAACGTATAAAACGGTCCGTTTTTTTTGGCTATTTTTGGGCTATTTTTTTGGATCGACATTTGGCTATTTTTGGGCTATATCTCGTAGAAATTTGGCGGGTCAGAGTACAAGCACCTGGCAACCCTGGTTGCGCAGGCGGCGACAGTCGCAGAAACAAAAACAGGCGCGGTAACAACAAGGAACTGCGCAGTTCCTTGTTTGCTAATTACGCCGGCTCTCGGCGTCGTCTGCTCGTTCGTTGACGGCAGTTGGCGTCGCGACCGCTTGCGCCATCTCTTGTCTCCCGTGCGAAAAGGCGCCGTGTTGTTTGCAGACCGGTGGCTTCGCTGAGTTTCCATAGGAGCTAAGCCTTTTTCTTTCTTTACTTTTTCCTCAGGTAAGTTCGCTCTTTGCAAATTTTACAAAAAAAAAAAAAAAAAAGCACCATCTGTGGGCAACGCTGCACAAAGTCGTAGCGCGATAGGCTGAGAAACCGAATTTTCCGGTCGATTTAAAGAGCCTGGCGCCTCCTTGTTTCACCCTGTACGTGTACACTAACGCTTCGATCTCTGGACGGTCCGCGAAAATCGATTTCTCAACATATCGTGCTAGGATTTGCCACAGAGGTGCCCGAAGGTGATGAATTAATTAATTGTGAGTATGAATAGTACATGAAACCTCCGGAGTCAAAAGACGGAAATTTAAAACTGGTTTTGTTTATGCAAAAATTATCGCTAAGCCTTTTTTCTCAAAATCATAAAAAAATCGTTGTTTGCTATTATGGCGTTTATTACGACTGAAAAATCGGTGACATGTAAAGAAAATACAATTTGCTTATATTCTCCACTTAATTTGGCACAAATAAGCGCCACAGTGACAAAGGATTATTTAAGTGTGCATACAAGGTATAGGGAAAACATAGTTTTTGATTTTTCGTGATTTACTCAGGTGAGCCAATCTTTCCACAATTTTAGTGAAAGCTTCCACCACCTTCGGGCACATCCGTAATAAATCCTTGGGCGATACGTTGTGAACCCGATTTATGCGGACCGTCCAAAGTGGGATCGAAGCGTTAGTGTACACGCTGTATACAGCGTGTGCACTACCGCTTCGATCCACTAACGCTTCCCATTCAAAGTTTCAGAAATTCACCTATAGGTGAATTTCTGAAACTTTGAATGGGAAAATGGGGCCCGTTCCCGGTTGTTTGCTTCATTCATCCCCATGTATCTGAGGATGTCGTCGGTCACCAATTTCCCATTGAATATTTCCGGAAATCGCCTATAACATTTGAGTAAGAGAGCGGTTACTTCTAAAACTTTGGAGTCTATTCCGGAGTGCTAATGCTATATCTGGGCGGATACTGAGAGCTCGGCGATGCGCAGTTTATTTTTGCTGTAAAGAAAACACTAACAACTTTCTTTTTTGTGGGGACAGCATGTACATTTTGTCGTTTCGTTTTTAAACGACATTGGATGTGACCGAACGCCTTCCTAACACCTTCGGAATGCAATCCGTACCTGAGGGTCTTTGCACTCCTCATCGGCAGTCTTGTGCACGGCGTGGAGCTTGTTGGTCACTTTGTTCTCCAAGCTGATGGCATCTCGCAGCGCTTGCAAAACGGATTTCCAAGTGGTGATCTGGGGCATCTGCACGACGACACCGTTTTTAGAATCACGGCAACGCGGGTTTGTCGCATTCATTTGCTTACGTCGATATTGACGAGTGAGACGGTGCTGCCCCTCTTGTTGATGTAGTCGATGATCTTTTGGGCGTGCTCACGTTCCTCCTTGGAGTTCTCCGCGAAGAAAGTACTGAAACCTTTGCGTGCCACTTTGTTATTGTCGAAGTGTGCCGCCTGAAACAGAACATTTCTGTGAAATTTATGTCACACTCTAATACCCCTGTTACACGGGCACACTTAACCGCGGTTAACTCAGCTTTAACTGCGGTTACGTGTCAGCACCGATGCCGCACTATACCCTCGGACAGCTATTTCAAAAGAAGTGAAGAGAGCGCGTGCACTGCTTTGATGGGTGCTCAAGATGCTCAAGCGCACGTTCGCCCATAGCTCTGACTGCATCGCCGCAGAATGTTGTCGGCAAGTATTGTGCGCTAATTGTGGTTTAGCGTAACTGCAGTTAAGTGTGCCCGTGTAACAAGGGTATTAGACGGGATCGCGAGTCGGAGGTCCCTTATTTAAGCATGCTAAGTAAACATTTTAATTGTCGACACTTCCGCTTTTTTGTGGCACTAGGAGGACGAGACAATTTGCCATATTCTTCATTCCTGCGAAGAGTATAACATCCACCATCGCAGCGACGTTTTGGAACAAATTCGTCCAGTTCTTCTAGATTAGACGAAGTAGTTCGAAATTAATGGAATCATTCCGAATGCCCCAAACGTTACCTACCATCTGCATATATACGAGGCTTGCGTGCATTTCTACATTTATGTGTTCCTGCAGCGCTGCTTGACATTCATCTTGAAGCGGGTACTTGTCCAGGTTTTCGAACAAATTGTTTCCTGAAAGGACAGAATTCGTGCAGTTATTTGAGTGACCAATGAATAAAAGTCTCGATGCAACAGAGGGGATTTGGCTTTTCGGCGTTTATCTACGGGCACTATTTGACGCAAAAAATCGGTGTTTACGAATGGCCTGATTCGTCGTAACATGTTTTCTCTTTTCTAACATAAAATTGGTGTTTGTCAGTGTTTATTTTGCATCCATGAAACCGCGTGACAGTAATGATATAATTGATTATTAGAAAAGTAAGGTAACAAGAACTCTCACGGGCGTCACATTCCTCCTCTTGTTATAATTTCTCCTCAGGGCCGCAGGAGACGATCACAGTTATGTCAGACATCGGTTAGATGGCGCAAATGTTGTGACACGCCCTCGCAATACGCGTATAAGTTGTTTGATGGGTGCGCTTTCAAAAACAGGGTCAAATGTGGAAGCTCGTGGTGTTATCAGGATTTTGCTTCTAAAGGGCACCTCAGCAGTTGAAATGTATTGTCGACATGTTCACGTGTACGGTACTAATGTCATATCATGGAAGCATGACAATGATGGAAACTTAAAAGATGCAAGACAAAACAATATCAACGCCGACCCCACTCAGTCAACAGCTCGCGTGCGTTATTACAGCGCTTCCGGTGGGAGGTAGTGAAGCATTCTTCCTACAGCCCCGACCAGCACCTGTAGTGTCTACTGTAGTGGAATCTAGCCATAAATCTGGCTTGGCCTGGCAACTGGAACACTCTCCAAGATGGCTACCAACGAACGAATAAACGCCAGTACGTTGTGGTTTCGATCCAAGGGAATCCTTCCATTTTTCTACATCTCCCACATTACAATGGTGACGATGCACTAGAACAACGCAAGAATCGCCCAACAGCGATTTTGAACCGCACGGACCCCTCTACACCCAACAACGGACATCTTGTTTGACGAGATGGAGCACAGCACGCTCCCCACGTTTTCCTTAAACGCGCGTGCCACTGACGCCAATAACGTCGGCACCAAGCGGTTGAAGTGGGTAAGACGCTTTGAGAACTTCGTGTGGCCTGCGGCATCACACGCGACGCCCGTAAGACCGCTTTGCTGCTACACTACATCGGGGAGGAAGTCCATGACACCTACTGCGCGCTCCCCGAACCTCCTGCGACCGCACCTGCGGCAACAGCGTCAACTGTCTCAAGCACCGCTGGCGAAAGCCCGCTCTACACCGGAGCACGCAAGAAGCTGGACGCCTATTTCGCTCCACAGGTCAACACAACCTTCGAGGTCTACCGTTTCCGGCAAGCCAAGCAAGTAGAAGGAGAGTCCCTTGACTCATTTTACGCCAAACTACGACAGCTAGCGCGACATTGCGCCTTCGCCGATCCAGACACGGAAATCAAAAATCAGATCCTGCTGTCTACAACATCTTCACGCCTTCGCCGCTATATGCCATGCATCATGACCTCGATTTGGAGTGAATCCTCAAACAGGGGAGGTTATTTGAAGAAGTGGAGCACAACGGTCACCTTGATGGAACAAGGAAGGCAGCAGCAGCACAGCGAGAACACAGTGGCAGCGATAGCAGCGAACGCCAAGTCGTCTTCGCACCACCAACCGCCCAAGCGCCACCAGAAAACCGCATCACATCCTCGTGATAATTGACGTCGTCAACACCCGGATGCAACATGCTACAACTGTGGAGGATCGTAACCGTACGACAGTGGTCGATCAAGCTGCCCAGCCAGAGGCAAGTCCTGCAGGTCATGCCAGAAGGCTGGCCACTTTTCCAAAGTATGTCGGTCGGCTCCAGTCACTGTCCATGCTATATTGTCACGGGTGGTGACCAAAAAACAATAGATGAACAGGAAGAAATAAACGTTTAATGTGGCGAACTTGTGCCAAAAATAAAAGAGTACAAAAGATAATAACAAAGCGTCGCGGGCGTCGAAATCGGCGAAACCGCAGGATCGAGCGCTGGGGCGAGACTGACTCCGGCTTGCCCGCGGAGCCGCTTTTGTACACACGTTGGCTTCTGGAGCATTCGACGTAGAAGGTTCGACGCGTAGAACATTCTGACCTCGAATCAGCTAGACGGTTCTCGATTTCACCAGAACATCACATTACAGTGTTCACAAAAATGCATAGCCGCGGCCAGGAATCGAACCCTGGCCCTTCGCGTGGGAGGCAAGCGCGATAACCGTTAGGCTACGGCCGCGCTGCCTACTTGGCGCGCGGCATTACTCCCCCCTTAAAAAGTGCATCGCCCCGATGCATCCCAAAACAAAACAAAGCACATAAAAAGAACGGCAAACTAAAGAGTCACTTGAAACACATAAGATCCACAGTCCTATCGAGCGTAGTACGGCTTCAGGCGCACGACGTGGACGACTTCAGGTCGTGGTGGGCGGCGTGATGATGTTCTTGTTCCGTCGGGCATCACCTCGTAGCTCAGCTCGCCGAGGCGACGAAGTACCTTGTATGGTCCGAAGTACCGTTTCAGCAGTTTCTCACTGAGGCCGCGGCGACGGATGGGCGTCCACACCCACACCCTGTCTCCGGGCTGGAAGTGAACGTCCCTGCGACGAAGGTTGTAGCGGCCAGCGTCGACGCGTTGCTGGTCTTGAATCATGAGTCGGGCGAGCTGGCGGACTTCTTCGGCGCGTTGAGCAACCGCCTGGGCGTCGTCGCTCTCATTGTCAGATGGCTCATGGGGCAGCATTGCGTCCAGCATGGTCGTTACCTTCCGACCATGTACCAGCTGGAAAGGGGTGAATCCAGTGGTCTCCTGAACCGCCGTATTGTAGGCAAACGTGACGTAGGGCAACACCTCGTCCCACGTCTTGTGCTCTACGTCGACGTACATAGAGATCATATCGGCGATTGTCTTGTTGAGTCGCTCGGTCAGCCCGTTGGTCTGCGGGTGGTATGCAGTGGTTCGACGATGGCCGGTGCCACTGAGACGAAGAATCTCTTGCGTCAGCTGGGCCATGAACGAAGATCCGCGATCTGTAATCAGAACTTCGGGAGCGCCGTGCCGGAGGACGATGGACTCGATGAAAAACTTGGCGACTTCCACAGCAGTCCCTGAAGGAAGAGCTTTCGTTTCGGCGTACCGCGTGAGATAATCTGTGGCGACGATGATCCAGCGGTTCCCCGACGTCGAAGGTGGAAAAGGACCAAGTAGATCCATTCCGATCTGCTGGAAGGGTGTAGTTGGAGGAGAAATAGGCTGCAGAAGTCCGGCCGGCCTCGTCGGCGGTTTCTTGCGTCGCTGGCACTCGTGGCATGATCGTGTGTATAGGTGGACGGTCTTGGGGAGCTTCGGCCAGTAATACTTTTCACGAATACGGGCCAGTGTTCGGCTGTAACCAAGGTGTCCGGATGTCGGGTCGTCGTGGCAGGCTTGGAAGATCTCTTCTCGAAGGTCACTAGGGATTACCAGCAACCACGGTGTGTTGTTGTCGCCGAAGTTCTCTTTGTAGAGTACACCTTGTCGGATGGCGAAGGTCGGCATCGGCAGTACTCGTGAGAAGACACGTGGCACGGTACTCCTGCCCCCTTCCAGGTGCTCGATTAATGCGCGCAGCTCAGGATCGTCCCGTTGACGTCGTGCCATATTGTTGGTGTTCACTGCTCCTAGGAAGCACTCGTCGTCATTGTCGTCGCTGCAGCCGGAAGGGGTTTCGACGGGGGCTCTGGACAGGCAGTCGGCGTCGCTGTGCTTGCGGCCTGACTTATAGACCACTGTCATGTTGAACTCTTGTAGTCGAAGACTCCATCGAGCGAGGCGTCCTGACGGGTCCTTCAGGTTCGCAAGCCAGCAGAGCGAGTGGTGGTCCGTGACTACACGGAACGGACTCCCGTACAAGTACGGACGAAACTTCGTTATTGCCCAGACGACCGCAAGGCATTCTTTCTCAGTCGTGGAGTAATTTTTCTCCGCCTTGGACAATGTCCGACTTGCGTAGGCGATGACTCGCTCGATGCCTTCTTGCACTTGGACTAGTACTGCGCCCAGTCCCGCGTTACTTGCGTCCGTGTGAATTTCTGTTTCCGCAGCCTGGTCGAAATGTCCAAGCACAGGAGGAGTCTGGAGTCGTTGTTGCAGTTCGTCGAATGCCTGCTGTAGCTCCTCGGCCCATTCGAACTTCTCGGCGTCCTTCGTGAGATTCGTAAGTGGTGCGGAAATCCTTGCGAAATCCCGAACGAAGCGTCGATAATAGGCACAAAGTCCAAGGAATCTTCGCACGGCCTTCTTATCTGTCGGCGCTGGAAATGCCGCGACGGCGCGAGTCTTCTCGGGGTCTGGGCGGACGCCTTCGTTACTAACCACGTGGCCAAGGAACTTCAGTTCGTCATAGGCGAACCGGCACTTTGACGGCTTGAGTGTGAGTCCGGCGGTCTGAATAGCTTGAAGAACAGCTCGGGGTCGTCTCAAGTGCTCGTCGAAGTCAGCTGAAAATACTACGACGTCGTCAAGGTAGACGAGACAACACTGCCACTTCAGCCCTGCCAGTACGGTGTCCATGACACGCTGGAAAGTTGCTGGCGCCGTGCATAGTCCGAAGGGCATCACCTTGAACTCGTACAGTCCATCCGGCGTGACGAAGGCTGTCTTCTCTCGGTCCCGTTCGTCGACCTCGATTTGCCAGTAGCCGCTCTTCAGGTCCATCGATGAAAAGTATCGAGAGTGGCGCAGCCGGTCTAGAGTGTCGTCGATGCGGGCGAGTGGGTAGACGTCTTTCTTCGTAACCGTGTTGAGCTGCCGGTAGTCCACGCAGAACCGAAGAGTTCCGTCCTTCTTCTTAACCAGCACGACTGGAGAGGCCCATGGACTGCATGAAGGTTGGATTATGTCGTCATTCAGCATCTCTTGAACTTGCTGATGGATCACCTCCCTTTCCTTAGCGGAGACTCTGTACGGCGATCGATGCACAGGGCGCGCGTCGTCCTCGGTAACGATGCGGTGCTTGGCAACCGCGGTCTGGCGCATCTTCGACGACGTCGCAAAGCAGTCGCG